AAGGCAAGACACCACGTTGTAGCCCGGAAAAAAAAAAAAAAAAAAAAAAAAGGAAGGAAGGAAGGAAATAACTCAAGTATGCAGTATGTGCATTCTATTCATTCAAAACGTCAGGCCAGCCCAGTGTGGTGACACACACCTGTAATCACAGCACTCAGGAGGCTGAGACAAAAGTATCACCAGGAGTCTGAGACAAGTGTGTGCTACATATGACTTTAAAACCAGTCTGAACTAGAAAGCAAGACCATGTCTCAAAACAAAAACAAACAAAACAACAATTAAAAAAATAAACCAAAGAATGAATGGTCCAGGAACTATTTAGTATCAGATTCACAGATGTAGTACTCAAAATTCAAATTCCTAGACACCTCTTCCTGTTTCAGAATCAGAATCTCTGAAAATGAAACATTCCGAATGGGATAGAATTTACATTTTGAAAACACATTTGAAAATTATCTATCAAAAATGCAACAGTGCCGGGCGTGGCAGCAGCGCACGCCTATAATCCCAGCACTGGGAAGGCTGAGGCAGGAAGACCGCTATGAGTTCAAGACCAGCCTGGGCTACATAGTAAGTTCCATGTCAGTCTCAACTCCATAGTGAGACCCTGTCTCAAAAAACAGAAAACAAAACAAACAAAGCAACAGTATTATTTTTAAGGCACTACCATGCAATCAAAACAGTTTCATTGAAAAAGGGACTAAAGCCCCAAAATTTCTTACAGCAACCAAGCTATTTTGCCTCCAAAGCTGTCAAATGAAATTTTTAATACCTCAAGCCAACTTTACTGCAAGATAATGTAATAAGGCAAAACAGAAATCTATACAATTTTTCTTCCTATCACAGCCAGCACTATGAATAATAGAATTGCTTATTATTACTCGCTGCCTTTTTAAATTTTTGCTAGGAAGTGAACCCAGGACCTCATACTTATAGTAAGCAAGCACTCTATCACTGAGCTACACAACACCTCCAGCTGTACTTGCCTTCCAAAACACTGTAACAGTGGGCGATAAAAACAACAGAGAACCAAAAATAAAAAAGAAGAAGAAAAAAAAGATCTGATGACAATCAAGTGGCCAGAAAATCATGTAGGTCTCTATTTCATTTGGTGCTAGTTACATTGGACAGCAGCAGTGAAATCCAGATAATGTATGCAAATTAATCATTTGTATCCTATTTGGAGTGTGAAAATTCTTTGTTGGAGAAATAACTAAACAAGGATGCTAATTATTGTACTTTAATAATAGTAAAAAAGAAAAAAAGATGAAAGTGTAAGTGTAGGGCCAGGGATTTGGCAGCGGTTCCACAGCTTGCCTCGCAAGCGCAAGGGCCAGAGTTCAATCCCCAGGGCCACCCCCCCACCAAAAGTGCAAGTGTTCATGTATATAGACTGGTTAAATAAAACATGCTACATTCATGTTCATACATAAGTACAAATACGTTTTAATATAGTTTGTAAAAAAAGCACATTCCTATGACATAGGTAACAATCCAACTTTTGTTAATATATACAGAAAAATATTTGAAAGTATAGTAAGCCTATGGAGCAGTGTAAACTCTGGGGCACTTTGGGCAACTTACTGAGAACTGTCTTATGGGGCAAAAAAAAAAAAAAAAAAAGAGCACAAATTTTAGGCAATTTAGGAAAAAACAGCATTCTCTGTTGTGTTAAAATTTAGATATGGGAGAGTTGGATGCTGTGGTGCACGTCTATAATCCCAACATTCGGGAGGCTAAGGCAAGAGTATCACCTCAAGTTTGAGGCCAGCCTGGGCTACATAATGAGTTCAGGACCAGCATGAACTACAAAGGGAGACTCTGTCTCAACTATCCCCACCACTAAAATTTAGATACAGGAAAACCATTGCTCTATAATGTCTAGTTTGTATAACATTCTACTTTCTAAGGAATTAGAAACAAAAAATAAGAAAAAAAACTTTAATAATTTTTATGCCAATGTTTTTCAGCATTTACTAACATCTCAATAACCCTTGTGTATCTCTGTGTATTTTCCTAGAATCTGAACACACACATTTTCTCTGCAGTTAGATTTTTTTCCAATACCAGGGATCGAACTCAGGACCTTGTGCTTGTGAGGGAGGTAGGCTGCCAACTGAGCAAAAGCCCCGGCCCACAGATTTTTATTTTCCTTTCCAACTTCTAGCCATGAGTGAAAACAGTCTTCTCCCAACTATTGGCAATGACAATGAATTCCCTGTGTAAGACTCATGTCTTTTTATAGGTTACACCTCCTTCACAGAACTTGTTTTCTTAAGCCTGAAGTAACTAACATTTTACCTACAACCCTTTTTTTTCCTAACTTGGTCTATCACTCACATTTAAAAAACATGAAGATGTTATCCTATAAAACTTAAGATCCTTGTAAATATGGAGATCATCTTTCACTCATGTTGCCTGTTCTTTAATTTACTGTAATGCCACAAGTCAGGAATTATATATAATATAGCTTATATTCAGAGTATAACACTTAAAAATTCTACACTGCATTTTAATTAAATTTTGCTCTTTTAAGACAGGATCTTGCTATATATTCCAGGCTAGCCTTGAACTTATGGTGATCCTCCTGCCTTAGTCTTCTGGGTGCTGGGATTACAGGTATATGCTACCATGCCTGTCTACATTGTACCGTTATTTTTAAAAAGGCATAACTTCTTGGGCCAGGAATTTAGCTCAGTGGTACTGCCACCTACCTCACAAGCTCAAGGACCCAAGTTTGGTCCCTGGTTAAAAAAAAAAAAAAAAGTCATAACTTCTTGCATTTTAAAAATTACACAATGGGGCTGGGGATTTAGCTCAGTGGCACCACACCTGCCTTGCAAGCACAAAGTCCTGAGTTAGATTCCTGATACCCCCCAAAAAACAAACAAAAAACATTATTAAGTTTAAAAACAATAATAAAAATAAGTCACACATGTGTAAACACCAAATAGTTTCTCTGGTGTGAATAAACTGTAATAGTACATAAGATCCTAACAATAACTGACTGTGAAATGGGAAGAAAAGGGCTAAAGGTGTAGGGAAAGTGGGAAGGGTAGGGAAAAAGTAATAAGGGAAAGAAAAAAAATAGGAGAAAATGAAAAAATGGAAATAAAATGTTTGTAAAGGGGGAGGGGAGGACAGGGACAAGGGGAAAAAAAATGAGAACCAAGACCTGTCATGTAAAGGTACAAGATCCCAATAATGAATGAACTGTACTGTATACCTAAAATGTATCAATAAACTCAATGAAGAAAGAAAGAAAAAAAAAATAATAAAGAGTATGTTAAGAACCTAGGGCCAGGGATTTAGCTCAGTGGTTCCATCGCCTGCCTTGCAAGCACAAGGACCCGAGGAGTTCAATCCCTGGTGTCAAAAAAAAAAAATCCTAGGAAGCAAACTTTCTACATGTTGAGAAATGGTTGAACTTTTTTAAATTTTAAGAAGGATTTCATGGTAATTACCAGGCTTCAAGTGTATTTACAATTTTCAAAAAGATTAATAACCAGGTAATTCCTGGCTGCAGAGAGAAGGGAAAAGTGATTAGTGCAATATGCTAGACTGGATCTAATAAAAGTAAACTACTTAAAACTATCTGGGCCGATCAAGCCTAAATAGAAGAAACAACAATGAAAAATTAGAGTACAAGCAGCTTAATTAATGTTTCCCTGCCCGATTTTAAAGTCTTGACTTTTTTTTTTTTTTTTGGTACAGGGATCAAACTCTGGTCCTTGCACTTGAGACACTTGAGAGGCAAGCAGTGGCATCACTGAGCTAAATCCCTGGCCCAGGAATTTTTTTTTTAGCACATCATCATAGAAATGACTTAGGAAATGAAAAATCCTGTAAGAACTGACCAAAAAATACGTTTCATATGGTGTTGTAATATTTTTCTACATATAGCTATGCCTTAAACAGA